TTGGCAGGCGGACTCTCAACCACTGCGCCACCAGGGAAGCCCTCCCCAGATCTTTTTGGCTATTAAGGTTCTTTTGCCCTTTCATAAAATTTTAGAATCTAGTCCCTCAAAAAATTCTGCTGGGAATTTGATTGCTATTAAATCTGTAGATTTGGGGAGAGTTGACATATTTGCTACTCTGACCTAATCCACGAACATGACATGTCTCTCCATTTATTTATTTTTTATTTCTTATTTATTTTATTTTACATTTTTGCGTGCACCGGCCCTTCATTGCTGCGCGTGGCCTTTCTCTAGTTGCGACAAGCAGGGGCTATGCTTTGCTGCCGTGCACGGGCTTCTCATTGCAGTGGCTTCTCTTGCTGCGGAGCACGGGCTCTAGGCGTGAGGGCTTCAGTAGTTGTGGCTCACAGGCTCTAGAGTGCAGGCTCAGTAGTTGTGGCGCACGGGCTTAGTTGCTCTGTGGCATGAGGGATCTTCCTGGACCAGGGCTCAAACCCGTGTCCCCTGCATTGGCAGGCGGATTCTTAACCACTGCACCATCAGGGAAGCCCCTCTCCATTTATTTAGATCTCTAATTTTATTCATGAGTTCTGAATTATTCAACATACAAATCCTGTATGTGTTCCTTCTATTTGCACACAACATGACTGTCTATATGAGGTTAGCAAGGTCATAAAGTACAAGATTAACACAGACACACAAATCAGTTCTGTTTCTATATTCCAGCAACGAACATTTGTAAATGAAAGCTTTTTAAAAATGCCACTCAAAATAGCTCCCCACAAAATGAAGTTGTTTCCACATCTTGGCTATTGTGAATAATGCTGTAATAAACATGGGTGTGCAAATCCTGTTCTCAATTCTGTTGGATATACGTAGAGATTGCTGGATCATATGGTAATTTTAGTTTTAATTTTCTGAGGAACCTCCATATTGTTTTCCATACAGACTACACCATTTTACATTCCCAGGGCACAAGGGTTCCAACTTCTTCACATGCTCACCAAACATTTGTTCTTTTCTGTGTTTTTGATAATGGCCATCCTAGTGGGTGTGAATTGATATCTCACTGTGGTTTTGATTTGCATATTTTTAATGATTAGTGATGTTGAGCATCTTCTCATGTTTGCTGGCCATTTGTGTATCTTCTTTGGAGAAATGTCTGCTAAAGTCCTTTGCCCATTTTTAAATTGGGTTATTTTGTTGTTGAGTTGTAGGAATTCTCTTTATATTCTGGCTATTAACCCCTTATCAGATATATAATGGGCAAATATTTTCTCCCATGATGTAGGCTGCCTTTTCACTCTGTTAATTATTTCCTTTGATGATCAAAAAGTTTTTAAGTTTAATGTAGTGCATTTGTCTATTTTTGCTTTTGTTGCCTGTGCTTTTGGTGTAATATCCGAGAAGTCATTGCCAAATTCGATCTCATGAGCTTTTCCATTTTCTTCTGTGACTTTTATAGTTTTAGGTCTTACATTTAGGTTTTTATTCCACTTTGAGTTAGTTTTTGTATATTGTGTAAGGTAAGGGCCCAACTTTATTCTTTTGCATGTGACTGTCCAGTTTTCCCAGCATCATTTATTGAAGAGAATGTCCTTTCCCCATCAATTGTTTTGGAACCTTGGTCAAAGATCATTTGACAACATACGTGAGAGTTTAATTTGGGACTCATTCTGCTCCACTGGTTTTAATGTCCGTTTTTATGCTAGTACCACACTGTTTTGATTACTGTGGCTTTTTAGTAAGTTTTGAAATGAGGAAGTGTGAGAATTCCAATTTTGTCCTTCTTATTTGAAATTGTTTTGGCTATTCAGGGTCCCTTGAGATTCCACATGAATTTTAGGATAGATTTTTCTATTTCTGTAGACAAACAAAACACAACACTGTTGGGATTTTGATATGGACTGCATTAATTCTGTAAATTGCTTTGAGTAGTATTGACATCTTAACAATATTAAGCTATTCAGTCCATGTACATGGGACTTTGCAGTTTTCATTGTACAAGTCTTTCACTTTTTGGTTAGGCTTATTCCTAAGTATTTTATTCATTTTGATGCTATTGTAAATGGATTGTCCTCTTAATTTCCTTTTTGGATTGTTCATTGTTAGTGTGTACAAACACAACTGATTTTTTGGCACTGATTTAGTATCCTGCAACTTTGCTGAATTCATTCGCTCCAGTAGTTTTTTTAGTGGTGGGGCTTTCTATGTATAAGATTATGTCATCTGTAAACAGAGATAATTTTACTTCCTCCTTTCCAATTTGGATACTTTTTATTTCTTTTTCTTGCCTAATTGCTTCCAGTTCCATGTTGAATGCCCATTTTTAAACTGAGTTGCTTGTCTTTTTATTGTTTAGCATAAGAGTTCTTTACATATTCTGGATGCTATACCATAATCAATTGGGAGAAGCCACAATGGGGGCTTCTGGAAGGATAGTTAGTTTCATTTCTTGATATGTGTTGCAGTTTCA